AACAACGCTACTGTAGGTGTGTTAAACAAATGTATTGTACATAAATGCACAGAAAAAAGGATCAGATGGCGAAACACGACAAGTCATATGCATTTAGTGATCAAACAAAATCTCTCTTCTATAAGTGCCCTCCTAGATTAATGGTAGTTGCGTAAACTGCGAGGTTTGAGATCATCAGAGTTTTGATGCAATAGATGATAAGGAAGATTCCTATGCTTATCCTTCATCCTGCTATATATTCAATTTACGATTATTATTTAATGGCTTTAATGGTTGTATACAACGTATCGATTATACACCGATTTTATTAGAATAAACTTCTGATCGAGACGTTAACATAGATGATTAAAAGAAACAAAATCGTGTAATAAAAAAATCTTGCTAAACCTAGGAATACATATGTGAACTTCCAACTTTGTATTACAATAGAAGAATAAAAGCATATCATGTAATACTCTCTTCTAAATCCAATTTCCAATAAAAAATTTCAATTAGCAATCTTCCCACACAAATAACAAAACCTCACCATTCCCCACCTAAAAGCTTAAAATGTCTTCAAGCCAGTCTATATTTTTCTTATGGTTTATTAGCAATCGCCATCAAATCGCTCCAAAGGCATCAACAAAAACCATAAACGCAAAATTTTAAGAGCTCCAGGCCATTACACGACAACATTTCAACTGTCTATGGGAATGACGAGTACGTTTCAAGCGCTTTGGTGACAAATTGCATTTACTTTACGACTCCCTAGAAAGGCGATGACAATTAAATTAGAACTTTAATTCTTTATACTTTATACTCGTACATACATACAAACAAAAATCGTACACAACGGAATAATTCGGACACGCAAGCGGCGGTAAAAAAAAACATTCGTCTTGATTTTTAAAATTGAATACAATGTCGTCTCTAAGCAGAATTATGAGAATAGCGAGGGTGTTGTGTTCGTTAAAGTTAACTGGATTTTGATTTTTTAAAAGTGACCACATGAAGAAATGCATAACAGCTGAAGAGATTTGTGGAGTGGCGAGTAAGATTATTATATTAACAAAACGATTTATGTATTTTTATTAACGAAATTGAAATATTGTATTTTCCTGTAAGATTGGTCGATGAACATTTTTGACTGCTGATTTGAGCTTTGAATTCTAGGAAGATATCATATAATCAGTCCCTTCCTATTCCATATAAGATTATTTGATTTTTGAGCAGACTATTAATTAAGCGATTAAATCTTATCAGTATGGCTTAACGCGGGAAAACTCTATTATAGATAAGATAATGAACAATATACAGATCTCGAAAGAGACCCCACAATGAGTCGATTATTAGCAAAGTATGTTTCATAGATTGGAGCTTTCCGTCGTGCGCTTTTCAAATCCAATATTGTAGAAAGTAATTGCCATCGGAACCGAGCAACAATCAGTTCCAATTTTCTTTGGTGGCGTAAAAAATCGAAGCGAAAAGCCCTGAAAATAAATGAGAACCAGGAAAAAAATTTATTATTACCAAATCTATGCTCCAAAAGTAATTCATAAGTAAATGCAAGACCATTTAGAGGAAGGAAAGAAGGCAGAAATGTGGTTAAAATAGAGAACGTCCTGCTATATGCATACAAAATATATAATATTGTCCGTAATGCAATCAGAAATGATTATTCAATTCCAACACAAAACTTCGAATCAAAATCCGAATCTTTTCGGCTTTAGTTGATAACTGGCAAATCTTGTGAATAAATATTTAGCATTTTTGTTATATGTAGATGTCATCGCTTTATTGCCAACTTAAGATTGCTGCAGACTAATTAACGCATTCCTAAGTAAAGTAGCTTCATTGGCTTAAATCTATTCATACAACAAACTTATTTTCAGGTTCATTGCACTGCCGTCATTACTTACTCGCCCCTATATGCTATTTGCATACATTTTAAAATGAGCCAATAATAACACTTTTATGAATACTTATACCCGAGCGCAATTTGTTAGAGTAATGTCTGCTAACTTCAAGCATGTACCTATAATTTTAGGTAGAAGTTCCATTTAGCTTAGCGAGTGGCCGAAAAAACAAGCCACGGACATAAAATAACTCTACTACTTTTCCTATCAAGAAGAAAATATTATAGCAATTGTTTGGAAGCCAAAATAATGTAGCATTTATTCAGAGAGATTTTAATTATTATAAAAATATTCCGTACTTTTTAGTATAAATAAATCAAACATGGAATTTCAGTATATGCTACGTAACAGAACAGAGCACATTGTTTCACCAAAAGTTAAAAGGTAAGACCCCGTCCGTGTAGAGTCTATTGAAATTTCATAAGATAGGATCTCTACGATAATAGTGGGTAGGAATAAGTCTTTAATGATCCAATTATTTTTCAATATTAGTGATAAAGCTTCCAAAACAAGGTTATGAACTGACAGAAGTCACCAGAAACCAAAATTTTGCACTTGGGATCTACTTCGATTTTGTTTGGTTAGGCCATTTAGCAAATATGGTAGAGATCATAATATTGTCTTTGGGTTCATATAATTTTGGAAATAAATCAGAATTTTGTACAAATCAGACATTTTTTTAATGAAAAAACTGGAAAAAAGGTGATAAGGCCTATTTCTACATATATAATATTTTATACAGGATTTTCTCCTCCTTGCGATTGGAACTCGAAATCATCAGAGCAGTAGTCCCACCTAGATCGTTCGAAGTAAGACTATTCCAAAATCAGTCTATTATTCTCATAATTGGAGGCATTCTTCGAAGAAAGTCAAGTGAACTAAAGTTCGAAGTTTTGGGAGGACTGACTCCCTGACCGGTTATTTTTTGAACGGAAACTTTTTATGCTCACATAACTCATACATCGGTTTACGCTCGCACTTATGGCTCCCTTACTAATTTTATGCCAACATTTGCATTTAAAATTTCTCTGTTGATTTCTATTTCTATTTCTATTGCAATTATTCAACATAGTGTTGCAACTGGTCTTTGTTATTGTCATTCTGGGTTCTTCGTTTCTTTTTTCCCAGCTTTTATTCAACTCGCGCGCATTGTGTTCCGCTTTCATTGTGTTTCGTTGCGCTTGGCGCTTTTGATTGTTATTTGTATTGTTGTTGCCAAACATACCACAATATTGTCGGCGTTAGTTGGCAACTTTACGCTATTGCTATTCACATTGTTATTGTTGTATTGATTGTTGCCATTGTGCTGGCTGTTGAAAACTTTATGTCGCGCTTATTGCCTCTATCGCCGCTCGTAGCTGTGGTTGTAATCTATTTTTCTGTGACTACTGTTTTTATTACAAAGCGAATTACATAGCTGCAGGACTTTTTGAACAGGATATGTAGCTTTGGAGAATAATGGCGGTGAGGGATATAAATGGCTGCGATTTTGCTTAAAAACATTAATTTCATGGGTCATTGCAAGGTTTTTAAAGTGCTGAAATTAGATAAGCACAGCATCTTAAACCTCAAGTCATTTTACATATGTTTTCGGTGGGATTCAGACGCCGATTTTGCTTATTCAAAGTATACATTGGATGGTTTTAATAAAAACTATTCGCGAGTTAAATTTCTTAAGGAGATTCTAGCTACTAACGGAAAACGTTCTCCTTTTTTATAATTATGTCTCGGTTCCTGATTTACGTTCGACGTTTAAAAAATCTAGAAAATAATAAGAGCTTAATCGATTTATTTTTGAGGTCACCAATTTCATATAGATGTAACGATCCCGCTGGACATTCTCGCAAAGAGTGAAACCAAAGATAGCTGTAGATTTATTAGTGTAAGAACACAAAAAGCTCACCTATTAAAAGTATTTCCTGCGAAAGTTTAGCAGTACTTTAGTCACGTGGCATATAATTTTAATCTTTGGAAGAGAAAGTTTTTTTTAGAGAGGTCGATTCTCGGCGTAACATGTAAAAACTTTAAAATCATTGCTAATGTAAAAGCTTTCATATCAAATTCACCATGTTTTTGGAGGCGCCTTTAATCCTTAAGAAAAATTGTATGGGAAAATATGAAGATAAGTAGCAAGAATAAGGAAAGCAGGAGAAGAACTAATTATATTCAAGGGTGAGAACTTCATTTAAAATTTTTTTTAAATTTCTTAAGTCGGTTTAAGTTAGTGTATTTTCGTTTAGTTAAAAACTTCTAAATAAGGTGCAAGTATTGTATAAAAAAATTACTTTAAATCAGGTTTTGCTACAATATTAAATATAGAATTGCCACCTAAATTTAATTGGAAAAATAATTGATTCAGAATTTAAAATTAAAGTATTATTTTGATATTTTCGAAAGATTTAGCTAAAATATTTGATTAAATGGTGTTGCCACATGTACAAAATTTTAATATTAGTAATTATTAACTGAATTCTTTTTCAATCGAGCTATTATTTTTTTTGTTTCCAAAAGTTTTGTTAAGTTAAAGAATGAAACGGCGTTGCCACATATATTTCTTTTTCATTAATGAAATTATATGATTAAAATTTGCAATCAATATACAATGCATACATATTATTTGAATCAAAAGGTTGGTTAAAATATATGTATTTTATAGAGCTGTTGCCATATTTATTAAATCTTGAAGTAAATATAATAAATAAAAACATCAAAATATTATATAAATTAAAAATTTGTATTAAAGTTGTTGCTTTTAATATTTTCATAGACATAACGAAATCATTTTGTCATATGTATATTTAATTTTCAATAAAATACGACAAAAAGTAAAAAATAAATACTGCCTTGAACTTGCTTCAGTTAAAATATACAAGTATAATGAAATATTGTTGGCACATTTATAACTTTTTTTTACAATTAATTTTTAATATTAAAATAAAAATAAATTCTACAAATGTTATATAGATATTTTATTAAGAGGTTACCACTTTATTTGAAATAACAACTAGGTAAACTATTATAAAACTTTAAAGTAAACTACAATTAGATAGATAGAAAAGGATAGATGTAAACGGAAAAAAATACAAAAGAACACAAGGTTGATAATTTATTTGAAATATTTTTATTTATTCTTTAATTTAGGCCTGCCAAGTTTTAAGCAAAGGCTACGTTACATACATTAATATTAATTTAATAAATACTTCGGTCATTTATTTAGTTTTTTTTTTCAAATCCAAAATAATCGACGCAAATTATTTTTGAAATTTAATTAAGTGAACGCATTTCACTAACTTCCGCAAATTAATTAATTTCCACGAATTTCCCTTTTAATCCAATCCAAATACCCACTAATGCGCGTAAAAATAAATGGAAAACCATGTTCTGGCGAAATTTCATAGCTCATAGCTTCGACGCCCAGCAAAAAATGCGATTGCATTTTTCCAACATTCGCTAGCGACATTAGCGCGCCACCAGAATCTAAAATTGTGCTATCATCAACACCCTTACCCCTCACACAAACGTGTTTTGCTGTCAAATTAATGAACGCTTCAGTCAAAAAATGATCCTTAAACTGTTCCAAACTTGATATATAAACAATAGATTTCATTTTGAAATCTGCTACTTCTTTGAACATGTGCGCACCCCAACCGGATATCTGCAGTGCCTCACCATCAACAAAACTGGCCGATATGTGTTCGGCCTCGAAGGGTAAGCAAATCGGTGCTATGTAACGTGTGGTACGTACCGACGCGGCCAATTGCAGCAACGCGAGATCGTTGAACAATGATTCATATTCGGGATGTTTGATTACTTTGCTCACGGCCAATTCGATGGTGATTGACTCACAACCGATTTGATCGGCCAGCACCGGATTTTGACAATCCTGCATCACCGGTGTAGCCCACACACCCAAACGTACACCGGTTAAGGTCCACTCTGGCTCATTCTGAAACAGACAATGCGCCGCGGTGAGTACATAACGCTCATGTATAAGCGTACCGCCGCAGTAAGGACTCGTTTTACTCATTTCTGTAAGGTCATGCATAATTATTTATACTGGTTAATATATATGTATATGTACATATAATTCCATACTTGTGTATAGGAGCAGCGCTGTCCAGGGATATTCTTCGCTGCTGGTAATTGTACCGGGGTCGAAATTATTTTCAGCTGGAAATACTGCACCGCAATATGGCGGCAGCGGTAAACTTAATTCTTCCGTCACCGTTGACTCTGGGCAACAAACCTGTTTTCAGCGTCGTTAATTATATAAATTATTGGAAAAATTTCATTTTCTTACTTACTTTTGGAAATTTAGTGCCATCACCACAAAAGCTAGCATTCAGATATTTGGCATCGTTTTCATAAAAATCAGTTTTCTGTAGAACTCGCATCAGCGATTCGCAATGTATAACGGAAATGCAAGTGCCGTCAGCACCATTAGGTGTTTCACATTTATTTACTATAGAAGCGGCTTAAAAAATCGAAAAATAATTTAAATTCAGTAAAAAATAAAAGTAAAAAAATAATTTATGAAATATGATTAAATTTTTCGTTGTATTTTCCTATAAAATAAAAGTCAGGCCATTTTCTAATTAGATAATAACCGATAAGTTAACAGAATTTCGATTCTATTAACATTTTTTCTTCTTTAATGATTCAAACGTTTAAAATTCATCGGCTAGGGCTGAGTTCTGTGATTCAGAAACTCACTCAATAACTGTGGTATTACAAAGAGGCGTTGTATTACAGATCCTTAGAATGAGAGGGTTGTTCTCAAAACAGCTCAGGCGACATATTCACGACCCCAAATATCAAACAGTTGGATTTTGATTGCATAGAAGAGTCTCGAAGATAAAACATTAATCTAAGCCTCATTGCGAAGGTTGCATAGACATGCTACGTGAACAGTGAAATTTAAAACAACGAGCGAGCAAAAACAAGAGCTTCTCCTTGTCTTTTTATACTCTTGCAACATAGTTTTATTTACCTAACGATTGCTTGTATGATTTAAGCTAATCGAGATAGATAAGAGTTATATACTCGCATATATACCTATAAATGATCAGGATGATGAGATGAGTTGAAATGCGGATGTCCGTCCGTCTGCCTCTGCAAGCTGTAACTGAGTGAAAATTTAAATATGATTGATATAAGTCTATTTTATGAATTTGCACGCACAAATTTGATGACACAATTTTCAAATACTTTTTCTATAAATCAAGTCGTATGACATGAATAAATTGTTAAATATTGACTTCTAAAGTTTAAATAGAGTCTGGCTTATTGCTAAAGACCACTGGCTTTAAATAACCACACAAGAAGTTGTCTAATGATGTTAAATCACAAACTCTTCAAAGACATTCAATGTCACAATTTCTTGAAATTATCGCATCTCCAAACTTTTCTCGCAATAATTCGGTTGTTCCACATACTATGTGGCACGTAGCCTTGTCTTGTTGGAACCAGATGTTGTCAAGAATAACTTCTTCCAATTGCGGCTATAAAAAGTTGGCTATCATCGATCTATACTGCTCTCCATTGACAGTAACGGTGCCACCAGCGTCATTTCGTAAGAAGTACGGACCGATAATTCCACCAGACCAAAAATCACAACAAACTTAAATTTTGGTGAATGTAATGGTTGTTCATGAATAATTTGTGGATTTTCTTCGCACCAGAATCGACAGATTTGTTTATATACCGCACCACTCAGATGCAAATGAGCCTAATCGGCGAAGATGAGTTTCATAAAAAAATTGCAATTGGTGAATTATTTTGATAATAAAATTAAATAATTTGTAAAAATTAAAATAAATTATTTTGATAATAAAATTAAATAATTTGTAAACGTTGTTCTTGCGTATGTCTTTCCATGATGAAATTGTAAGCAATACTGAATACAATGAAAAAAAAATGACAGATCATGACATAGTAAAAATGGCGGAAACGACATTTGAAAATCATATCATCCCAATTGGAAACTCCGATATAAAAATTTTTGAACTTTCGAGTGAATTTATACCGCATATATCGGTCAATATGTGAGTAATCTCAATGAAAATGAGAGAAAGTATTTAAATCATAACAGTGTAACCTTTTGCCTAAAATAGATTTAATTAGGCGAGCACTTGATCTAGAACCCATATAACTAATATCACTTGGGCATGTTAGTGGTATGTGGTATTGGCAAACATTTATAAAATCGGGTCAATACTACCCCCAACTCCAATATACTACTTATAATGATTTTCGTTATTCTAACATATGTCGGTCAGCGAGTATTATTATACTCTCGCAACCTGTTGCCACAGAGTTTTTCTCACCTAACGGTTGTTTGTATCACCTAAAACTAATTGTGTTCGATATAGGGTTATATATATTTAAATGATCAGGATGAAGATACGAGTTGAAATCGGGGTGACTGTCTGTCCGTCCGTCCGTCTGTGCAAGCTGTAACTTTGGTAAAAATTGAGATATCTTTATGAAACTTGGTACATATGTTTTTTAGTACCGTAAGACGGTAGGTATTGCAGATGGGCATAATCCGACCACTGCTACGTCCACAAAACGCCAATGATCAAAAACAAATAAATTGCCATAACTAAGCAATAAAATACAACACTGTTATTTGTTACACAGGATAACTACTGAATGCGCGATAAATCAAGCACTAAACACGCCAGAGACGTATAATTTTATCTCAGGGATAGTATGAGATTACTTTATAGGACCTCGTTCAAAATTAGACAGTCGGCGTGGCACCGCCCACTTTTAGGTGAAAATCCATACTGCGTGAATAATACGTTGAAAGTATGCCACCTTGTGACCAAAACTTATCTAAATTGTCCCAAAACTGTTCAAGCCCCTAGGTACTGAATATGTGGACCCCAGGACCTATAGTTGACTTTTTACCGAAAATATCGGTCAAAGAAATCTAAAACGAGTATACCATTTGATTTTGCAAGAGTATAAACTGTTCGGTTACATCCGAACTTAGCCCTTCCTTACTTGTTTAAAATACAGTTTTACCAACAACCTGAAGGAATTTCCGGGCTTTGATTCTTGCAAGTTGCAAGAGTATAAACTGTTCGGTTACACCCGAAATTAACCCTTCCATACTTGTTTTTTATAATTTTAAGAACTAGACAAGATGAAATTTCGAAGGTCTTGTTTCTTGATCAGTAAACTTTCCTGCTCTACTGCACATAAATCAAGAAAAATGTTAAATTTCATATATATGTACATACAAGTATGTAAGCAAGTACCTGTTGTTGTGATAGTTGGCGCTTCTGGTACAGGGTAAGCCTCCGTTGGACAACAATACTGAAAAAAATATTTTTAGTTAAAGAAAGAAAAACCAAACTTAAGCGACGGCGTGCAGTATATAATCCGTAAAGTTAGTGAAACCTTTAATATAACAGCTTCCTAGTCATCTTAATCAATCTGATTCATGCACATTTTACTGGGATGTAATTATAATAAGTTAGTTTTCTTTCTTTACAAGTTCCACAAAATTAATTCACATAACCACTTTTTGCCTTTAGTCAGTCAGCACCTTTATTATTCCCACACTTTATTTCTGTAGATCTCAAGTAGAATCGCTCTCTCCCAATGACCATCACTCGTGAGTCATGATCTTGGATACCTCTTTACGTTTCTCTACTCAAGACACATTATGTACTTACCACTTCCTCTGAACCACCACATCTGCTTTCATCCAAAAATTTCATTTCTTCTTGTGTCGGTTGAACTTTTTCATAAAGTTTTGCTATGGGTAAGCAATCATTTGCGTCCAAACAAATACCAGGCATACCCATTGGCGATTTGCACACCTGACCAGCTGAAAGAACATTCGACGAATATATGTAAAAATTTTGGTTTAGGTACTAATAAACGCATGAATACCCTGCCGGAAACGCGCACATTCGTAAATACAATAACTTACAACCCGTGAAAATTTGTCGAATTTTGACTTGCTTCGGGCTGTTTATTCAACTTCTCGTAAAATGAATGAGAATATAGATAAACCAGAGACGAAATGCACAAATTTGTACAGGGTGCGCCATCTTTTATATCGCTATGTAAACATTGCATAATCGTATTTTATATTCTAGGTATTCATATATAATTTGGTACATTTAAATTGGCGTTTGACTTTATTGGCCACTGAAAGGTCTAGTTTTCTATTTTTGGTTCGAATATTTGTCTTGAGCCTGCTAATGGTCCAAGAATTATTAAACTTGCTTTTGGAATGACCCCGCCAAAAATTCATAGCTCTCAAATCTGGTGATTTAGGTAGCTAGTTAATTTCATCTCATTTTTAAATGAGTGCCCAGAGAACTTTTTCTTTCGAAACTGAGTAGTTTGACAGAGCGATATAGTTCGTTTCGTTTCGTTTAAAAATATATGGCTCAATTACGGTTTTTGACTGAAAAGTTGGCCAAAAAAAACTTGCTTCTTGCGTTTCAGTTTCATGGATTTTGCATAGGGTATCCCTGCAATATGGAAATTTTGTTTACTAATTGCACTAAATAGAATAATGATTCATCAAAATGTGATTCTAGAAATCAGGTTCAGAGTCAGCTATGCGTCCAATTGTATGACTGAATTCCAAACGCCGTGGATGTACAGAAATAATTTTGTGGGCTCTTATATATAATATATTTATCTTATGAAGTGTAGACAACACTCTCTCTAACATTTGCAAGCAGTTCGTTCGAGCACGTTGCCATTTCTCTCACTGTTTTGTTTTCAAAAAAATTTCATACAAAAAATCTGTAATATTGACAAACTGAATTTCGATATTTAACGCATGTCTAATGAATTTAAGCACTGTTACATATCGCTATAAAAGTTTCCACACCCTGTATTTCTACTATTCCGTATTGTTTCCTGCAAGGCGTTTATTCATATAGTACACACTAACTTGCATCAGGAATTGTAGACACCTCTTCTACATCCGGGCAACACACCTAAGAGAACACGTAAACAATTTTTAATTCAGTCATATTTATTTCTTGCATTCCGTTTGTGATTTAAGAAAATACTCACACTAATGGAACTATTGCTATTTATTTGCCTGAAAATCGTGAGTACTCACACTATATGGTTGCTTTGTGTAGGAGCAGACATCAGCATGAAGTCGTAACATAAAATAGTCGAAGTCTGTTTTGGCTTGCTTCTCTACGATGGCCATTAAAGTTTTGCAAGTCTTAATATTTACGCATTTGCCAGCCACACGGTTTGGCGTTGTACATAGATCTGTAATCAATTCGACTTATCATTACTACAGCAATGTATGACTTGAATAAGAAAGCACAAACTATATGCAAATTAAATGTTGTTAAAAAAAACAGATAAATCATACATTAGGACGTTTATAGTCACTATATATATGAAAATATTTTTTAAACTTTATTTCACAAATTCATAAAGACGCATTATCTCGCCGAACGCTCACCTCCTTCAGTGCTTACGATTAAAACAAGCGCGCAAAATATAAATAACTGTATTCTCGGAAATACGCACATTTTTCAAATATTACATAAATTTTAAGCGCGACTTAAGTGCAGCTTGTGCAACGTTCTGATATGAACTGTGCGCTTAAGCTTTGCTGATTAAAATTTCTTCGCTAATATATATGTACTTACAAATATACTTACTTAAACATAATATACGAGTATAGTTTTGCGGATGAATTTCTTATCAGTGAAAAATGAATAAACCATATAATAAACATTTTACATATAATTATAATTATTGTATATTAATATTCCCCATTGGGGTGGTTCTTAAATCAGGAGTTGGAAATATTGTTAGTTCATTAATAATACTACATAATACATAGATGATAAGTGCATGAAAATGTGTACACCATAGATGCCAACACCTTACAGAGCAGAGAACCAAATACGGCTAATCCTAACCAAAAGGTTGGTATACTAAAAGCGGTTGGTATACTAAAAGCGGTAGTGGAAAGGGGATGGAGCATTGCTGTTAAAATATTAATAGAGAAAAATAATAGAATATTTTAACCGTTCTTCTAATAGTATTTATTTCCTGTATTTTTTTGAATAGAAAATGCGGTGAATAAAACACCAAAAAACATATATGTTGGGCAGAGCGTTTAAACAAATCAACTGTTAAGGCTTTTTTTATTTCTTTCAGAATGAAGCTCGAAATAACCACGCGCCATCGTTTACGTCGACTGTTGTTAGTCATTTAGGGAATGCAATGAGTCAGTAAACTGTTACCAAAGCTATTTTATGTAGGTACATACACTAGGGTGACGTCTAGCACCAATACACTTTGTTTGTCACGAAGTTTGTAACACCAAGAAAGAAACGTCGGAGACCCTATCAAATATATACATAAGAAATCAGCATGATGAGCTGAGTTGGTTTAGCAATGTTCGTCTGCCCGTCCGTCTGTATATAGACAAACTAGTCTCTCAGTTTTTGAGCTATCGAACCTGTATTTTTCTCACCTTAAAGCTGGTAATTTGTCGGCACGGCCGATATCGGACCACTAAAGCATACTATATCTGCCATATAAACCGAACAATCGCAATCAAATGCTTTTTCATTTAAAGAGGTATCTTGACAAAATTAGGCATGGATTATTGTCTAAGGCAATAATGTAACCTTCGAAGAAATTGTTCAGATCAGATTACTATAGCATATAGCTGCCATACAAACTGAATGATCGTAATAAAGTGCTTGCATGAAAAACTTTTTTATTTGACGAGGTATTCTCACGAAATTAAACCGCAATCAAGTTCTTATAAGAAACAGTTATATATGTGAAGGGTATTATAGCTTCGGTGCAAACGAATTTAGCGTTTTTTCCTGTTTTTCTCTCAGTTCTATTGAAAGATATTAGATATAACGACGTTTAAGTACCTATTGCGCCTGTGTTTTGCGAATACTACACTATTGGTCTAATTTTGAACGATACGATAGTTTACAAATGGTCACTGACATCCATGTCTAAAATATGTACGTCTAACAGAACTACATCACATGATCTAGGTGGCAAATTGACAGGTCCATTTTATAATATGATTCGGCTATATTTTCCAAAAAAGTTATCCATCGTACTGCGGGAACCATTCAAAGATTTTAATATTAAATAAAAGCGTTTTATATGTGGCATCTGCAACTGAGTATGAATGAAAATATAATATAATAATATAATAAATTTCGGTAGAGAAAATTAAACCTGGACTAAATTTGTTTCAGTAACCCGCATCGCGCGTTGTACAAGATGGGATCTTCTCAGACACTTTTGGGAAAATGTGAATAGTATTTATGGTCCCGATACTGCAGCAGCCAATGACGGGTAAATTTGTTTCCTTGAATCAGTTCCAGTAATTTTGATGCGCCATACTTGGGAAGGCCAATTGTTGGAAATATTGTCGTGCGAGCACTCTTTCGATTGCGAAGCCGCTGAACGTTGCACGCAATACCGTTTGAAATCATTGAAATATGGCTGGATAAAAAAATAAGCTCGATGTATGGATGTCACACAAGTAACCATAATACAAAAAAAGCTCAAGGATCGAATTTTAAATTGCTTCTGAATCGCAACAAAATTGATTAATTTCCGAAGCGGATGCGTAACGGTGGTCACTGTCGACAACGTCAAGCGAAAACGGTCGTGGTCTGTCCGGCGCATACTGTGGCCAATTTGAATTGATGATCACGAAGACTTTGTTAGGTGCTTGCTAAGATTGGCAGTCAATCATCTGCTATGAGCAGGTCTCCTATGGCCAAGCTCTTAATGTGGACAATAGCCACAATTTGATCATTTGAAGGAAGCAATCGCCCAGAAGCGGTCAAGAAAGAATTGTGTTCCATCAGTACAACACTAGGCCACACAAATCGACAGTGACTCGCCACAAGCTACAGAAGCTTATCGGTCGGGAGGTTCTTATGCACCCACCTTATGATCCGGACGTGGCGCCAAGTGATTACTACTTGTTCATGTCTCCGACGAATGATTTTGCTGGTGAAACATTCTCCTCAAGTGAAGCTTGTGAAAATCTATTGTTCCAGTTTTTTTACCAATAGGTACGTGAGTTTCTATGAGAGTGGCATTATAATAATGGATTTTTGTATTGTACTATTTTGTATATATTTATTTAGCTATTAAAGGAAACATGTCTTTGTAAATTGGGAACGAGCTGTTGATCTTAAGAACACAATTCAACTGGTACACCCGTCGTGCCAAAAGTTGATGTAAAGCTGAAAACGTAAGTATTTTACTGGTAAGTTTTATGTAGTTTAAGATTCCATTTTTCACTCCGTTTGAGATGACATGAATTCCCAGAATTAACGTCGTCCGAAAGGCGCTTTTCGAGAAGGTAACCACTATTTTATATCAAAATTTTAATAATAAAAATATGCAAACAAAAACATGTTTAATAATGCCTGAAAGAAACAAAAGTCGTTTCCTTTCTCTTTGCTTCCAGTATAAATTGCCAAAATGAGGCCTTTATAGGGCTCTAGATTGGCCTTATCCTTAATAAATTGTTATAATTTCTTAAAATTTACACTGAAATTATTTATTCATAGCAAAAAAATTGTTTGGTTACAGTACTTTTGTTCGAATCACTTACAATATGTTTTTAAGGTGAGTATTATCCAATCAATAAAAGTATTGACGCGTGAGTAAATGCCAATAGATTGATCAGTTCCACATTTGTTATTCAAGGAAACTTATGCCTATTAGATACCAATTCGTACTTCCATTTAAAGTTTCTTTGATCATAAGCGGTCCACCAGAATCGGCTTTACATGCATCGTGATCTTTGCCCGTGGCGCACATTTTGCTGCTACTTATTGTAAAATTGTTGCAATAATAATATTTTTCCTTTTGAACGACTGGTATTATCTCAACATGCGTTTTTAACTGAATACTACTAGGGTCAGAGTTGTCTTTTTTAGTCATTCCCCAACCGCTGATGCTAGCTTGCTGTTTCTCGTAACGTTTATTATCACGTAGACTCACATCGAGTGGCAGACAAATGGGTGTAATTTGAGAGTATTTGACACCAACTTTCATATGTAATAATGCTGCGTCATTAACTGAGGTTTTTTTCCTATAATGCGGATGTTTTATTATTGCATCTATTTCATTATCCAGCATAGGGTTATTTATTATACGTGCACCCAAACGTACAAAATAATCCGGTACTGATTTCTTTTCATCAGAAAAACAATGTGCGGCGGTGATAACAAAGTATTCGGTTATAAGAGAGCCAGCACATATAAGGAAATCTTCATTGTCTGGAAAGGCTGTTTATTGTAATGTTTTAATAATTTTGTGGCGTTTTTTTTATGCAAGATCAAATTCAACATACTTAATTTATTTTTGAAAAAAATCCCTACAGTCCAGGGATATTCACCATTAATAGTATTAACCCCACCGTAGATACGATTTGCTATGCTGGGGGCATCGAGCCCGCATTCCTTAGTTGTCGGTAGATTACCCCTAGACTAAAGATATGAGAAGGAAATGAAGAATCATGTGAAATGAACTGATTTCATTGAATAGTTAAAGCATAGTTCCCTTATAATATTTTATCTTTTAATAACCAATGACTGACAACGACTCTCACACTCTCCACTTTTAACACGCTCTACATACTGTGACAATCATACTGTTTACAGTCTAAATCCACCCTGACTAAACTCCGACATACCAAACATATGTCATGCATTTAGTAAGTGCCCGTATGACACTAACTACTTCTTCGCATTCTAACTTAACCGAACACATCTAACGTCACGTTACCTGTATTTTATCATTATTTAGGGCAGCAGAGATGTAATCCTTTTGAGGGCAGTATACCTGTAATCCGAAATATATTTTTAGAAGGGTATTTTCTTTCAGAACTATGATAATATGGTATTTACTTTATAAGTGAATTCTTCAAGTTTACAAAAACTATATTTTAAAAGTGCTGTTTCCATTTCTGTTCTGGACACCTTTACAGATAGTTCAACTAAGGAACTGCAATTAAGTATCGGTATACATTTTCCAGACTGGCCACTTTTAGTCTGGCAATCATTACCAGCGTTGGCTGCAATATAAAGTAAAAGTAATAAATGTCGATACAAAGCAAAAGTCAAATGTTTAAATATTCTTAAGTAGAAATTCAGATTCCCCGATAAGAGTTATAGGAATATTATAGAGGAATTTCATTGTTATTGCGGTCTATGAATATCCTCAAGGTATGCTTGTCACTAACTTAAGGCGCGAAACGACTTTACAAGATTTAGATTTGGTGTGAATCCATTTAAGCCTATGGAAATCCCAAACTATTTATTTACTTTTTTTTTGCAAATTTTTCATTCCTTTTTTGACAAATACGTATATTTTATGACTCACCAACAATTTTATTGAAGCAATGCACACAGCACAAGCTTAACAAAAACCCAAAATATTTCTTGAACGCCATGAACAAATTAATCAAGAAATTCACTACCGCAATTTACGACTACTTTTGGCAGCGGCCTCGACCTAACTAATCGGCACTAACGATATTGTGCGTAACGTAGTGTAGAAGCGAAGTCTCAAATACGATTGCCTTCAGTTCAATTATTTTTATACTCTTGTAACATGTTACTACAGAGTATAATAGTTTTAGTCACCTAGGGGTTGTTTGTATCACCTAAAACTAATCGAGATGGATATGGGTTTCTATAAATATATAAATGATCAGCATGAAGAGATAAGTTGAATTCCGAGTGACTGTCTGTCTCTCCGTCCGTCTATGCAAGCGATAACTTGAGTAAAAATTGAGATATCGTAATGAAACTTTGTACACTTGTTCCATGGCAAAAGAGAAAGGACGAGAATGAGGACGGGACGATAACCACGCCCACTCCTTATATAACGGTTCTATTAAAAACTACTAAAAGCACGATAAATCTATAAATAAATACGTCAAACACATGAAATTTTACATCCTAGATGACAACAAAAGACTTTATAGAGGCCGTGGTCAATATTGTACGATGGGCGGAAACACATATCTCGGGACGCGCACTACCGATTTTAACCACATTCGGTGGGTGGGTAGTTAGCATTATTCTCACATTCTTATACCGCAGTGTAAAAATGTGTGATATCGAACTACAACCACGCCTACTTCTTATGTAACACAATTTTAAAATCCAATTGATTCTCTCACTTTCCAGTATACAAATTAGGCACCAGTGAATATATCGGCATAAAACATTGCACCAATATTGACTTTGAAGTGTGACAGCTTCTGACCGAAAATTATCTAAATCGAAACCGAACTGTTCAAGCCCATAGGTACCGAATATATGGACCCCAAGTTCTATTGCGAACCTTTTATCGAAAATATCTGTCAATCTGTGGGATATATTATAGAAACTCAGAGAGAATCAATATGCCCGTGTGCCAAAAATGGGTTGGATCAGATCAATAATTTCCTTAGTCTCCATATACCTAATAGAACAATTTGCGAACTTCCGGCTAACTTTATACCGCAAATATCGGTCAATATGCGAGTTAACTTAATAAAATTAAAAGAGCGTGTTTTTCTTCTAACAATCTATTATAGTGCATAAAATGCCGAGAATATGTAATATTGGTCTACGAATTATCCAACCCCTCTTATACCACATACGTATAATGATTTACGTTATTCTAACAAACCCAATGCTCAATATGTCGGTTATATAATATATGAGTTATATTATATATTTATAATATTGATTAATTGAAGGAATTTTTTCGGCTTTGATCATGGTAGGTTGCAAGAGTATGAAATGTTCGTTGACATCCGAACTTAGCCCTTCCTTACTTGTTATAATTATTTTGTATGTATTATATCAATTTTTTTGGTTATACTTGTACGTAGTGTTTTGCACGGAGTATTACTTACAGAGAAATCCTATGTTAAGCCGAACATTTTGACTTAAAATTCATTTCTAGTAGACCCAAAATTATTGAAAACTCTTAGGAATCTCGGTGAGATTTTTAAGAACACCAATTTTATTTATCCCGATAGAATGCTAGTTCGATTTCTGACTTTGAGTTAAAAATTGATATCCAAGAGTGCGGAATTTTTGTTACATTATTTAAGTTATGGGATACTTGGCATAATTTCTTAAACATAATTTTTTAATTCTTTAGTAGTCCGATCTGAACAAGATGTTTTGAAATTGTAGCATTCCTTTGAACAATCATTTGGGTGAAATTTTGGAAATTAAATATTATATCAAATAAAACAGTTTTGCATACGAGGCCTAGCGGGTGCAAAGAACGGGTGTAGATTGATATCTTAAAAACTAAGCTACTAGTTTGCATATATATGGACACGGAAAGACAGACAGAGGGACAGACGAAAATCGTTAAATTGACCCCTCACGCTGATCATTTATACATAAATATTTTATGAGGTCTTCAACGTTTGCTTCTGGATGTTACAAACTTCGTTTCAAACTTAATATACGATGTTCAGGGTATAAATATTAGTCATACAATATAACTTGACAGCGAGCGCATACATCACAGCGAGTTCCACTCAGAGCACAAGAAATACAACTGTGTGAATCATGATTCACATTTTTGGAAAAATAACATATTTGCCTAAATTCCATAACAGTTCACAGGAATTTTGCTGGTAAAACTGTTTTCCGAATGTCTGGCACTATATTCGATTCTACTACCTTGACTAAAAAGTGGCTGCTTGGATCTGCATTGACCTTTGTTTTTTTTTTTCAAACAAATCGAACGAGTCGGTGGAAGTCCATGGATTTTGCTCTCTGTGTGTTAATGGGAAGAAAAAGATCAGCTGTGAGCCGAGCTGGGTATTTGATCAAACCATATGCAAATGACATTTATTTAATTAATTCTTATTATTAATATATATATGCTTTGCATTTTGTACTCACAACTATCTGTTCTAGTGAAGAAAAATATTATCATATCAAAATTTTAGTACCTTTTGTCAACCCCATGTTTCTCATTTGAAATTTATGCGTATGAAAATAATTGCAACTCTGTGTCGAAAAAAATTCTTAACTAAAGAATATTCCTTACACTGAACTTTTGCCACAGAACCTTGAGTAAGTATTCATTAAGGGTACCACTATGCCATTTATAGCAAATATAGAAACTCGGACAAAATGATGTCTTAAATTATCAGATAATTAGGAGAGATTAGAAAAGAATGTATCAACAACGATCTTTAATAGAGAGAAGATTTGAGTGAGCTCAGACAGTTTTCCGAGAATACGCTACCGAAAATTCGCATAAGAATCTGGAAAACATAACTGGAACAAGAGTTTATCTGCAAATACTGGAGTTTCACAAAATCTATTTATATTCACTACAATTCATTCATCAAATTCGCTTACTAAATCCGCTTCTGACAAATATAACCGCCAAAGAATTTAATAAGAAAAAGTTTGTTGATTTATTTATAGACTATAATTGACACCTTCATCACTTATTCCATTGAAGGTTGCTTCCTAAGTATATGATTATAATATTAAGTATATTAATACCACGTACAAGTATATTTCTTGAGTTCTTCTGCATCAACTCGGATTGACTTGAGTTGAGTCAGAAAGCTATGAAAAATTTTGTGAGAACTTAGTCATAGTTGGGAGTAAGAGCTGTTGAGTTTTTGTAATTAATAAACTAAAACCTACTTTGTAAATATTTTAGTATAATTGTTTTACACTTTATTCATTAACTTGAATGTCAAGAATTGCCAATTTCGCAGTAGAATAAGTAAATATTCACTTATATCGCAACTTTTTACTCCAAATTTCGTCAGGTTTTCCCCCATTCTTTTACTATTTTTATTGGCAGAGAATCTGAGTTGGCTGTTTATTACTAAGAACATTTTCATTGATGATAAAGCGAATGTTCGCCCAATAGACTCATCCTCTTTTTAGGCCATCAATACAAACTAGTAGGTTGAAGTTTCCTAAGGGCAATTCATCAAAATTTGACGGAAGGAACTGGAGACGGTAAGAAATGTTTTTAGTGTTACTTAACTTAACTTAGTTACTGGGTGTAAACTTAAAGTACTCGCTTCGATCCAAATGGCTGGCAAAGATTCATTTTAATCTGAACGAAGCTTAAGATTGTGCACAACGTGATTTATTCAGATAACAGAGAAGTTAAAATTAGATTTTAAATTGAGAACAAGAAAATGTGCATGTCGCTTCAGATTTTTGCCTTAATCGAGATCACGTTTCACACAGTTAGACCAAACCATACTTTGATTATAAACGTACGAATAGTATTGAAGCCCTTCTTTATCAGAGGTTCCATAAATATTGACATTCAGGAATATTAAGTGGTATCTCGATCATCTTACATACGATATTTAATGCTGCAATGTCAGAACAATGAAATTTTATTAATGAATTACACGATTTCCAGCTGGATCGAAATTATCGTTTACGCGCAGTATGCAATCTCAACTCTAATCTTAAGAGTCAACTGTTTATTCACCGAGGTACTTTTATCAAAATAAATAATTTGTTAAACAGAGTTACTTTAGCGTGAGTGTAAAGTTTTTTACCAAAGTATTTTGCTTAGTGTACACACATATATTTAGCAGTGTTAATGAATCATGTATATATTTCGATTGGACACAGTTAAAAAGTTATGCGGGCAGTATATATAATATTCACTATTATGTAAAGCAAAGCAAATTATTATGAATGGAATTCGTTTGGGAAAAAATTTTTTCTGCTTATTGCTCAACCACTACAGATATGTATTTCAGTAGATCTTGAGCCAGCTCGCATATTAAGCGGTAAAATATGTCAACCTAAAATTTGTTGCATTAATAAAAATATTTCTAGAAAAACTACCTGGCATAATGACTGCATTGGGAGCTGCTCTTCTATTTTTCGGCGCTATTTTTTCGATGGAGAATTTACTGGTTGTGAGTACTTTTGTCATGAAAAATTAGTGTTTATCTAAGACCCTAACCGAGTTTTTGGGAACGTGAGCTTACAATCGGCTGGCGCTCAACGTTTCTTTGAGGAAAAATTTACCTAAGATTATAGCTTGCTTACAGCGGTCTTTTTAAAGCGGATAGTATCCAAACTACAACAATGTCGCTGGCTGTAAAATTGTACCATCCACTGCATTACGAATAAATTTCTGTCAGAGTAGTTTGAATAGAACCCCTGATTGAACCTCGATTCTACGATTTCTTTAGCGTTGAAGATAAATCTCTGCTGAGAAATCATATTTGCGACTGGGAATCACACTGAGTAAAGGTTGTCATCTCTGAATCCTAAAAGCTAGGTAAGGACTTAGTTGGTTATATTCTAACTTTTTAACTGGAATCGAATTCGGATATAATTGCATAAGAGCTGTAAAAAAGGCGAACTTAATATATAGTGTTTTGTGTATAAATTTCTAGATAATGGTACACTTTCTTAAAGTACCAGCACTTAGACAAAATAAATTTGATTTTGTGTTTATAAACAATCTCAACTCAATCGTTGAGACTAACGTCAACCAAAAGATCGAAATTAATTTTATTAGGGATATAAGGTTTAATTAAGATCAATTTAATTTATATTGAAGGCCAATATAAAAACATAATTTTATAACTTTTAAGAAAACGTGTTCACTTAATAAAATTTTGCACATCTTGACGAATATAAAAGGATTAAAGTCAGGTGGAAAGTCGGAAATACAATAATTATATAGGGTATATTGGGGCAGAGAGAGATCAGGGATTGTTGCATTAACCTTTGGCATTGTGGAGGTATACTCGAAAAGATATGTTCAAGCAATTTTAAAATTATATAAATATAAACATATGGTATACATACATACACATATGCAGTTAAGTCAGTCGGATGTTTCAAAATCCTCAATATCAGTTATATGGGGGCCAAGGAAAGCCCCGATTTTATCCATTTTTGGCACAATTGCTATTCAAAAAAACGCTTTTTCAATTTCTTAAAATACTTCCACATTGGTCGATGTATGTGATACAAAGTCAACTGGTAGTTCGAAAATCTTTATATTAGGTATATGGGGGCCTAGGATCACAACCCATTTTGGACACATGGGTGTATTATTATAAAAGACACATTTTCCCTGAATAATTGAACAATTATGGTCCGATTTTGACAATTTTAGACTTTTGTCCGAATATATTCGTTGGTGCTTGATTTGTGTACTGGAAAGTGAAAGATTCATATGGAATTTGAAATTATGCTATATTCGAAATAGGCATGGTTGTAGTCCGATTTCGCCTATTTTCATAATGTTACATAGCATCGTGTACCAAATTTGTTTGAAATTGGTCGATAAAGCCCTAATATATGTATGAGATTTCACCAAAATGTAGGCGGTGCAAGCCCATAGTCGAATTTTGACCCCGGCTGCTATAAAGATTTCTTATATCGTTCTGGGTGTACAATTTGATGCCTCTGGTGCTTTTAGTTATGAATTTATTTTCACACTATTGGTAGGGGTTCTTTTGGAGTTTTCCCTAAGCGATTTTGGTTATTATAGCTGAAGTGGTTTAGGAGATATGTACGCTAAGCCTATTAGAGACAGTTGCCACACCTTTTTTTCTAGATTTTAAGCCTACAGGTGCACTTTGGTACTGCAATTCCTAGTGCCAAATTGCAGGCTTATATATCAATTTAGTGCTTATTATAGGTTTTCGATTAATGGCGTTTTGGGGGCGTGGTAGTGGTCCGGTTACTCCCATATACGAACTCGTTATTTCTTTTTAGCTGAGGAACATGTACCTAGAGTCATTTAGATATATTAATTTTTACGCAAGTTATCGCTTGCACAGACGTATAGACAGTCACTCGGATTTCATTTCGCCTCCTCATCCTGATATTTATCATTTATATGTACATATGTAACCCAATATCTAACGCTACTATTTTTAGGTAATACAAACAACCGTTAGGTGAGCAAAACTATTATACTCTTTAGCAACATGTTGCAAGAATATAAAAAATTGGTTGACTACTTGTTGTGCTAGAACCCATCTCCTTGCCCTCCTACGACCGTGTTCGCCATTATCAGACCATATATTTATAATACCATTTGTTATCAAACAACTAAAAACGCGAAATTTTGAAAAATATTTATGATTACGATGAAAAATATATAAAAAAGTTTTTTATGGGTGTGAGGTGAAGATGATATCTATTAGCCAAAATAGTAGCGCATTGCTCAAACTTGTGACGTTATAAGCAAATGTATTAACAAGTCGTCTCTGTTAATCAACCGTGATACTGAAAACTTTTTTATTTCAAAGAATCATAATTTCTGCACTAACAGTGAGTAGTAAATGGGTTCCTTGAATCGGAGCTTCCAACAAATACTCGTTACAAGCATTTCTTATTACCGTGCCTATGACAGTTGAATCCATATAATGGTAACGGACACGGCTTTATGTACGACCAAGGGCTGTTGACTTTACCCACATATGGTATATATCGCGAAAACATTATGCTCAAGCAAAACACTTTTTGTGACCTTATTAGCAACGCCTTAGTTTTAAATTTACTATGAAGGTTAACGGTTTTTTTTCGTACTCTTAGCATTGCAATAGTTGGATTGATTTAGCAAATACTGAAGTTTTACCAACCCAGAAACAATGTGGCAAAGTCGGCATATCTAATCGCATTATGGGCGGCGGCGAGACCAATATTGATGAATTTCCCTGGACCGCATTACTGTTATATAAAAACAAGAGTATGCTACATATACTATTGTTACTGCAAAATAACAAAATAATTAAAAATATCAAAACCATCTCTTACAGGCTCCGGCGAGTTGGGTTCACTTTGCATGGGTTCACTAATTAACCAATATTACGTGATCACCGCAGCGCAATGCGTAAGTGAAAATAAGATTAAAGATGATATAACTTTGGAAGGGGTACGTTTGGGCGAATGGAACATTGTAACGAAAAACGATTGTGAATATTCGCAAAGTGGCAGAGCATTTTGTGCGCCACCACCTGAGGAAAGAGGCATCGTTAATATAATAATACATCCGAAATTCAACCCAGAGAAGATGACTAATGACTTAGCCTTGTTACGTATGTCCAAAAAAGCCGAATATACAGAGTTCGTAAGACCCATATGTCTCCCATTGCAAAAGGGTCAACAGTATTTGGGCTATGCGAATACCACAGCGGAAATCACCGGTTGGGGTGAAAATAAATCAGCACCGCGTAGTCGAACCAAAACAAAGGCAAGGGTAAAAATTCAAAACCTCATCGATTGCGTGAATGCTATTAGTCGCAGTGGCGGCTATGGTTACATCTATTCATCTTTTCTGCAAACTTGTGCTATGGGTGACGGTAAAGCGGCCTGCAAACTTGATACCGGTGCTCCGCTTATGATTCAAGATACGAAAAATAAAATTACCACCTATTATTTGATCGGTGTATTCTCAAGCGTGGAAGACACATGCGAGTTAAGGAATTCCCCAAATATATATACACGAGTTCATCCACAAATCGATTGGATTAAAAATGTCGTTAATTCGTAGTTTCAATGTTAACAAATATATATATACTTATATCAATATAGAAACTCCTGTGTATGAATTTAAGTTGTTTTATTTTGTAGAAACTGCTGAAGTGCAAACTTTGAAAGAACTTAAGAAGCACTTGGAAGAACTTTATTTTCCGCTGCGTGTCCGAGTCGAAGTAATTGTTTGTTTTTATACTCAGGGTCACTAAAGAGCCATTAAAAAATGTTAAGACAGCCTATTTTCAGAGCCTAATTCGCAGTGCTAGGATCGAGTTGAGAAAGTCTAGAAATATCATTTATTGATCGATCTGAACCAAATGTAAGCTTTCTTTTCTTTTTCGACCTACTAACATGGTTTCACTAAATAGAATCGCTGTAAGCAACTGAATCGGATCCAGGCAGGATTATCTCTAATAGTCCATCGGTGTGAGTCTTCAATAAATCTGCAGCTTTGATGCAAGATACCATTCGCAAGCTTGACTTGAAATTTGACTGATATACATATAACTTATGCGCTTACAGCGTCAATAAAGAAAACTCTGATTCTCGAAGGGCCGATGTGTAAATACAATGTAGACAGATAATCCCACCGACACGAATATGTTGTAGGATTATCAGAATCTACTTAGATAACAGAAGTTTTTTTCCACATATATAGTTTCAATCCTTTGTACAGGTTTTTGATAAAAACTCTTCTTCTTCCCCTCTTTTGTTTGTGCTCAAATCTTATTGGATGAGGTGCCCTGCCTTGAACTATACTAATAACCTTTTTTTTGCTTTGGAACGGTACATTCGTACGAATTTATGACATTTCATCATAATGGAACTACTTCACTAAATAACTACTTCTCTTGAACAGAGCTCACTGTCACTCAAACAACAAACAAAATCTCTATTGAACGAAATTTAACATATACATACGGATATCCATTTTATTACAGACTAGCTTTTGCCCGCGACTTCGTCCGCGTGGAATAGTGACTTCCGGCAGATTTTTGGTTCTTCCCACATAGTTCCCGTTCTTGCGGGATTTTCGGAATGGTCGAGTTCCCGCAGAATTTTCAGGATAAAACCTATGTTTTTTTTGTCGAGTTCCAAACTATGTCTGTACAATTTTTAAAGTAAATTTTATTATTTTAAAAAACTTCTGCATATACTACATTTTTTGTTTTATTATCTTGTGGCAGAAGAACATATTGATTTTCGCTACAACCCGATCTTGATAACGCGACATATAACTGGCCGTGCGAAAAACAGTCTTGGCGTAAATCGATCTCCACGTGTTTGAATGTTTGCCCCTGTGATTTATTTATTGTGACTGCGAAAGATAATTTAAGCGGAAATTGTATTCTTTTAAAATTGAAAGGTAAGTCGTTGGGTATCATTGGGATGCGGGGTATGAGGACTGTTTGACCAACTGCTGGACCAGTCAAAACTATTGCAACGATGACGTTATTGCGCAGAAATTTTACTTGAAGTCGGGTCCCGTTGCATAAATTTGGTGGTTTGAGATTTCTTAGTAAAATTATTGGGGCACCTATTTTTAACTTAAGAGAATGTGGGGGAAGGCCGCATGGGTTCAAGGAATTGAGGAACTCCTGTGGGTAATGAACTACATCTTCTTGATCCATCACGGTATCAATGGATGTGTAGGTTACAATATCTCCTGGGAGTTTACTCAAAATGATATCATTTATTTCGTCAACGCTACTATTTCTTGCCGCCAATATTGCTCTTTGACACATCCATTGATGGTCCTTGTTTTCTATTTGGCTGATGTCAGGGTATACCTTAGTTACTAATTCCTCGATGTTACCCACTTTTACTCCTAAATCGCAATCAATTTCAATTTTATTATTAGAATGAGGTATTTTCCCGTCTCCTACAGAAAGTAATTTTGAAGGGAAAGTTATACTACCTCCCCCCAAATGTGCTCTCATATTTTTCGATAATTTTAAAATATTTACAAATTTCCATAATGGAGAACTTTTAAGGCAAGCCTTCACAATGTCTGCTCTAGTTCCCCTTACTATTACCGGTAAAGTTTGGCGAAAGTCCCCAGCAAACATAACAGTAATCCCACCCATGATTTTATCACAGCTTCTAAGATCTCTAAGAGTTCTGACTAGAGCTTCTACGTGAGCTCTATGTATCATGGTACATTCGTCCCAGATTATTAGACTGACGTCTTGTAAAATTTTCCCCAAAGGGCCATTTTTGCGTATAGAGCACATGCTATCTTTCTCTAAAGACACAGTTAGGGGCAGTTTAAAAGTGGAATGAGTTGTGCGTCCACCTGCTAATAAGGTTGCAGCAATACCTGACGACGCTACTGCCAAGGCTAGCTTTCCTAGAGACCTTACTTTTGCTAATATAAGATTAGTGATAAACGTCTTGCCGGTCCCACCGGGAGCATCCAAAAAGAAAATTCTTCCTTCATTAAAACGAACAGTTTTCATGACACAAGTATACGTTGTCACCTGGTCATTAACTAATCTTGGTTCATTTTGTGTGATATACTCATTTAATTCATTTATGTTATATGGTTTTCGCAACGCTACTTCTAACGGGTCCAGAAGCGAATTATTTCTTTTTGCTGCAGGAAGCCCAAGGTCGGTTAGGGATTTATCTGAAATCTCATGAATTTTATCTTCAATTATGATTAGTCCATCATTGTACATATCATCATAATATGCTAATGTCATTTCCTGATTCTTATTACGCATTCTGTTTAATATTATATATAATATCTTCACATAAAGCATCACGAAATTTATTCCATAACTCTAAGGGTCAGATGGTTGGCAAAATATAAGGATAGTGGTAAATAATTCTCTTAATTTTGTAGCTGGCTCGGATATGATAGCATCGGATATGGTATTTTGCCAATGTTTATCTCCCTCCAGTAAACCTAATTCCTTGCAAGCGCCTCGGTACGTTTGGAAAATAACACCATTCACGGTTCTTAGATGTTGAAATGACATTGGACCGCGAACATATTGCAATAACATTCTTAAATAAAAACATTCAGTTTGAGTTGGATGAATGTTATAAACACGGCCTAAATTTGTGTCTTTTTTTTACACCGGGATATCCCTCAACATCTTGCCTTCTTCTAGAAAATGAATTTCTTTGCCAAACGTAATACTGGGGAACTTCGTGATATAAAAGGGTTTTTGCAAAATCGTCGCTTTTGCAGAGATCAAAGAACGCTGTAAGTGTCGTTGATGAAGGATTGTTCACACGATCTTGGAGATTTTCATTATTATAAAAATATACTTTTTGTCCATTTTCCAAATGAACGGCTAAATTAACTACTGCCGGAAAACGTTCATGAATAGAAAATTGGAAAATTCTCCAAAACGCCTCCGAGGAACTTATATAGACCATTTAGATATTTTTCTACTTCATCGTTATTACTTTGTAACGAAAATGTGGCTTGATCAGAACCTTTATGAATATACTTACAGATGTATTTAATAGCTTTGACCGATTGACAAAACTCTACGTTAATGTGTGTATTAAAAATTCGTGATAGCAGTGGATTATAGGGAACCACCCACGATTATCCACGCTCATTTCTGTACCTTTCACACGAATTATAGCTGTGTTTCCACCATTATCTGGAGACCTGCGTCTGTAGGTTGGATAACCGTCATCTCCCGTTTGTGTTTCCGAAATAAAATGCCTAGGGAACTTTTTAGAACAAACGTTTTCTTTCATACATGGTGATGTAGGATTATGAAATCCGCAAGAACCATGTATCATATTTTTTATGACAATATTATGAAGAATCGGATCTTGTTGTATGTCAGGTATTTCAGCCGATATTATTGCATCTATAGAATCTGGTTGAACATTGTTAGCCAGCCACAATAAAATGAGTGAGGTAAACCTCTTTTTTGCCATTCTACACTGTAAACAAAGGCTTTCGATGGGCCAAAAATATTTTTCTTCGTTAATAGGTCTATCATTTTCTTGAGTTTTAAATGAAATACCCTAGAAATTAAATCATGTCTATCATAAGAATGTTGATTGGGCAATAACTCACTTTTTATTTCTGACCATTCGGGGTTACATGTAAATGTAATGAAGAGGTCAGGTCTTCCAAATTTCCTGACACATGTCATGTCATCTTGACTTTTTTCATTCATGAATCTGGGGGATCCTGTAAATGACGACGACAATATAACGTGCTGGCCAATATTAGAAGCGTTTATATGTCCACCATTTACGATGTAAATGAATGTACTTAAATGAATGTACTCTTCTGCTCTCAATTTTTTTTGATTTCTTTTGCTGAAGTCTAGCCTCTCAGAGATCATTTTTGCCGCCATATCAACACAATATTGGTTGAATAATCCTTTGAAATAATGTATACTGTTAAAGTCATTTATTCTCACCATGAATCTAAATGCATAAAACTGCATACATGAAACAGTTTTAAATGTAGCCGTAGTATTCTGCTGTGGAATATTAATACAGTATCCGTCGTTTCCAAAGGGAAACAGTAAGGGATATTGAAGCGGGTCATAAGATCTATGAATTTCAGAAACTCGTTGAAGTCGACCATCTCTCGCAGTCAATACAATATCACGGGGACCTTTGTCTTCATCTATCATAAGAACAGCTACTTCATCTACTACCGGCGCTTTATACCGACCTCTATGCTCATTAGGAGGTTTTACATCAGCATGAATGATAAGTTTTAAACCATTCGGTGGTCTATTTTCTAGATTGTACTTGAAACTTTGAATATACGTATTATGATCATGAAGATATGTTTGGAGAACGTCGATAAGATCAATTTGCAAGCTTGGGTTTAAATTTGAGCGCAAGGATACCTGATCTGCATGGGAAACAAAATATATTTGCAGGAATTCGGGTTGTGCCCCTACAGCTGGAAGTAAGTCACCGATTAAATGATAAACTTGCCCTTGGACTTTAAAAGTGGGCATAAAGTTTCCCTCACGAATTTCTTCGGCACCAAATGAAGTCATCTGAAATAATGTATTATATTGTCTTGAGTGATTTAAGAAATGCTTAGATGATGGATGTGAGCCTGATATCAGTTCCTTTAAAACGGATGTTGGTTCCGGAATTATAGGTATATTTACTTTGCCACCACTACAACACAGTCCAGGAGTTTCAGCTGCCCATTTTTTTGCTTGGCATAAATTGCATATTTTATCCATTCTACCAATATCAATATCATTTAGCTCAGAATAGTCAACGGTACAATCATAAGCAAAAGCAGCATTTAATAAATTATGTTGTCTATGGTTAGCCAATGTTCGGGCATTCTGTGAGGCCAAACGTTGAAAACGTTCAGCTTTCGATTCCCGATCGCGGTTAGCCATTGTTTGGGCATTCTGTAAAGCCAAACGTTGAGAACGATCAGCACTCGATTCCCGTTGCCGGTTCGCCAAAGTTCGGAAATTTTGTGAGGCTTAACGCTGCGAATGTTCAACGCTTGATTCCCTTGCACGGTTTTGTTCAGTAATTGCTCGTTGTGTAGCCAACCTGTGCATATTTTCATCCTCAGTTTCATTGCTGCGCAAAACTCGCAACCGCTTTTCAGTAGCAGTCTGCCGAGAAAGCTGAGTTCTTTTTCTCGGCATTATAGTGATGAAGAAAAAACGTAGAAAATGAAAACTTAACTAAAGCGTATCTCGTAATAAAAAAAAAAGAAACTTAAGATTAAGAAGATTAATAATTAGGAACCTAATTACTTTTATTTTTAACGATTATGTCAAAAGAACAACCGTAAAATGAAAATAAGGTAAACTAACTTTATGCTTAAACTAAACCCTAATCTAATGAGAATACCTACAGGTATTATGTACCACAAAAAAAAATATTGGAAACTAAATACTATTTTTAAAACAAACAATACTATACTTATAGAAAACACATAATTATAAATTAATAATCTACATGAAAACAAAAAAGTGTTATTATTGTGTAACTAAATACTATCCTAAAACAAATAAAGTACCTACTATATAGAAAACAACTACAAAATGAAACTGTGTTTAAAAAGTAATATTACGAAGATAATTATATCGCATAAACCAATTAGCGCTGCATTCAACCGTTCAGGACAATCATACTTTATTTCTCTGATATTTCTTCGTTTATCCTGGACGCCATTACGCTTCGATGTTTGCTTACGACTGGAAAAATATACTGCGTGCATTAGCCCTTTTAAACAAATACTCTTTTGAATCCCAAAAATATGGAGTAAAGAAATTATGAATTTTTGATACATAAATATTAGGAAATTCCTGTTATAAATTTGGCCTTGGAAATATTAAGCAGGTAGATATTATGCATATTGTTCTACCACATTCATGCTAATTCATTGCAAGCAAAATGTGGGACCACCATCCCAACATACAAATGAAATATGCAACATATTTTAAGTGTTGCGCATTCGAACGGCACAAACAGACAGAAAAACTATACTCGAGTCGCTGGACTCTTTTTGCTCGTGTGAAAGCAGAGCATGATGCAAGCGTTTACACCATAAAACATGTTCATAACAACATCATGTTTTTAAAATTTTTTAAAAACCATCACACATGTATGACATGCACGCTCATACTTCTCATCACGCCGCACATGCTTGCATACAAAAATGACCGTGTAAAGGCCGCTTACGGGAAAAATCCAATTTTCGCGGATATCATACCGTACGGTCTGTTGTAGCGGACGGTAGAAGCAGTGGTGACTGATCATTTACATTGCGCTCTCATAAGATAGGTCGCATCAGCTGATGCGGGACACGGTTTTGCGTCGGTGACTGTTTGTGCCTTGAGCCGCGCGGCATGGTATCTCGTTGAGCTACACCCCCCTCCCGGCTTGCCCGCAAGTACCGCCTCTCTCCCGAGGCGCCGGCCAGCGCAGAGAGCGAGTTGGTTTTGTTTCGGAGTTATTTATCATTGTAATCTTTAAAGTTTTTTGTTGAAATTAAGTTATGTCAAAGACAATTTTATTCACAATGAAGTACTCTTAACCAACAACATATTTATTTGAATAAAGATTAATATTATATTATTATGTTGATACAACTTAAACAAATTATTTCGACCAAATTATTCTATTCTATTATTCTTTAATACATATTTTTTGTGTATCTTGAACCGTTTTCACGGCGCACGCAACGGAAGGCTTCAAAGATGAAATAATTTCTCCCGTTTTTTACACATTTACCACTATATCTTTGCTATTGGTCGTAGCGTGATGTTATATAGCCTATAGCCTTCCTCGATAACTGGACTATCCAACACAAAAGAATTATTCAATTCGAACCAGTAGTTTCGGAGATTAGCGCGTTCAAACAAACAAACTCTTCAGCTTTATAATATTAGTATAGATTACTGTCATTGTAATGTTTCAATTTTTAGAAAACTCTATAGAGATGATCTAACGCATCGACGGTTTCTACCTATTCTGGATCCATAACAATAGGATAAACTTTTCAACTAGAAACTCGCCTGTTTGACTTAAATCATTTTTTAAAACAACATACGGTAGCGTGGAATGACTCCGCAAGTAGAGTTTGTTAGGTATCTCTATCTTAAAATTTATTTACCGTGTATTTAGTATTTTGGCCGTTTATTAAATATAATGAACCATTTTAAATTAACTGTGAAATATTTAACGATAAATTTTTTTTTATCTGGATACACTATTGTCCTAACTTTTATATACAATGCCGGAAAAATAATGGCACAGAGAAGTTAAACTAATCATTGGCGTGTAGCAAAGCCACTATTGAGGCAAATAATGTGCTAAAATACAATTTTTATAAGATAGATATATCAAAAAATCATAGAAATCATCATGTACCACTTGTTACCAATATTCTTTATTCTCTCATTTTTTGTTTGAATATTTCCAAAGGTCCGCAAAATAAACATTTATTTTAGCGATGATCTCTGATCTCTTCATTTAAGTCAAATATTTTGAAAAAGTCAGTAAGGACACAAAATGATCTTGAAATAAAGGAAAGCCAAAGGAGTACAAGAGGAAGACACTCTTTCCATAAAGAAATTTCATTCTTTGGCTGAAAGTAAAAACATTCACCAAGAGAAACACATTGCTGTATTCGCACTATGGTACATATTTATTATTTTTGCTTACGATCAATTGCTCATACGTGTATGTGAAGAGGTATGCGTCAGAAGGCCACCAAATATCTCAATGATCCAAACTGTTTTCCATTATACAGCGTTGGTATACCATATATACAGAGTATAACCACTTTGAACGCATATTTTTCCCCAACATTGTAAATAATTTAAGTGTATTAGAATTTATTACTTCGGGGAAATATTATTTACGATCAAGACTTCAAGTTAGTTTGTAAGAGTGCCAAGCAGTAAGAGGTTTGAAACTTCGGGTAAATTTTGCTCACACCACTGAATGCAAAATTGAAAACATCATGACTTTTAAAAAGCAGATAATTTTAATAATATGCTGCAGCGCTTTTTTCTCGGATAAGTGTATCGTGAGTATTAAGAGACGAAAAAGTAATTGGGAAAGATAGAAGAAAAATGTGTTCATATATTGTATTAATTAATACGGCCGAGAGATCGAGAGCAAATAGCATAGAACTTTTATCAGAACCCACACTAAAGGTGTAAAACATGAGTTCTTCAGTAAATTATTTAGAAATATATTTTGGCTAAACATTACCATAAGATTCCATTAAGTAAAACGCAAATTACTGGCAGCGGTAAAGAGCAGTATTTTTCTTGTTCTGCTAATATAAGGGTATCTGAAGAGAAGTTCTGATTGACGATAATAAATCCATGGTGACCTAAATAAGATAGCTCCCATGAAAGGGGTAGATATATTAATCTTGGGACCCGACTGAACAAAGTACTAACACAGATTAATGATCTCATGTTATTGGAAGTGAGAGTGTAATCCTCCTGAACTTTGACAGTTGACTAGATCTAGGTGGTTTTGACATTTCGCAATTAAAAAAAAAAGAGACGGCCAGATTGAAAATCTGCCAAAAATATATGTGAACAGAGATTTTTGTTGCCGCTATTCAAGATCACTAACCAAAATTATATAACAAAAAAAATTAAAGAAAGCGCGAAAATAAAATGTATGTGATGCAATCTTTTGCGATGTAGTATTATTTTTCAATCGAAAATAATAAAAAAAAAAATGTATTAATTGAGATCCAAGACGTTTAAGTCACCTATTGTACAATACATCAAAAAAAAAAAAACCAAAATGAAAAGATTTAAACACTTTCTGCATATGTTTGATATAAATATAACAATTGTTAATCTTAATGAATGTAAGTTGTTTTAATTTAAATGCCCAAAAATTATTATTTCGATTGATCTGGCTACAATGCAAAATGTTATAGAAAACGGTAATTTTGAGGCACTCTCACGCTGGAATAAGTTAGGCAACCCTTATTCCTGTTACTACAAAGCTCTATGACTATCTGACTGACTGCCTAATCATCACACTTTTGTGTGATGTAACAAAGAGTGAAGAGTTAACTCTCTGTTATTTTTTCATCACTTTTATGGGTTACGAGTTTGTGTTTTTTTGTTTTTTGAAAAACTAAAAAGAGAGAGAGAGTTAAGAGTGGTCTAGAGAAATAGAGGTTGATGGGCAAGGATGGAGATATGAGGATAAAACGAGAGAAGTTGAGACAGAAGAGGAACTGGATTACGCTGAGTAATGTATTGTACAGTTCGAAGATTCACGGAAACTAGAGTTGTCACATAGGTATACCTTTTTCACAATATAGTCCTTAATAAATAGAGAATAGCATGTGAAAGCAAACATAAAAGATACAATGAAAATAATTTATTTTTCTTCATCCGGCAATGTTTAAGGACTTGTTGATGGATCTTTAAAATTTTACCTGTCGACACTACATAATGGAGATTTATATATTTTTTAATAATTCAAGGTAAACACATGGCTTGATCTGAGCGAAACTGGTATATTACCAAAAGAAAAGGAATGCGGCAAGGTGGATCTATCGAATCGTATATTAGGTGGATCTGAAACACGTATTGATGAATTTCCTTGGACAGCACTACTTGTATACTTCAATAGAAGTAATGAATAAATTTGTTTAAATAAACTAAAAAAGTTTGAAACATCCATAAAACTTTCCAAATTTCCTTGCAGGCAACGGCGACCTAGGATCCGTTTGCGCCGGTACGCTTATTAACTCATTCCATGTGATCACAGCAGCACAGTGTGTTGACAAAGAAATGATTTACAAAAACGGTATAAATCTGACGTCTGTACGTTTGGGCGAATGGAATGTTGCCACCGAAAGGGATTGTGAGCAGGACATCCGAGGCGTAGAGTTCTGCGCACCACCTGTACAAGATATAAGAATCGATGAAGTTATAATTAATGCAGACTTTGACAGAAAAAAAATGTTACATGACATAGCTTTAGTACGTTTGGTGCAAAAAGTCACATATACAGACTTTATTAGTCCCATCTGCCTACCAACATGGGACTCTCAAGTATATCTGGGCTTTGCCGATACCACAGCCGAAATCGCTGGATGGGGGGAAACGAAAAAGGAAACATATAGCATTAAGAAATTGAAAGCCACAGTGAATATACACAGTCTGCATGAATGCACAAGCAATATTACACATGATGATATAGGTTTCGGGCATACCTATGATCCGTATCGACAATCATGTGCCGTTGGCGACGGTAAAATTGCCTGTAAAATCGATACAGGTGGCCCGCTTATGATTATGGATAAACCTGCTGGTTGGACTTCCTATTATTTGATTGGCATATTTTCTAGTGTGGAGCAGTCTTGTACAGAGAGGAAGCCACCAGCTATTTATACGCGTATTCGCCTATACATGCCCTGGATAAGAAAGATATTGGATAGATAAATAGTTTGGTAGTTATACTCATATACATATGTAATTTGCATTGGTAAAGAAAACCAGATGTTTTTACAACAAAAACAAACTTTTTCAATGTTAGTCGTACCTTAAAAGAGTATCAGAGGACATATGAGAGAGTAGAGTTTTATTAAAAACTTAACAGCTATTGTTATAGGTTAACCATACTGAGTGGAATCGTGGAATAAGGCTTGAAGAGACGAATATAGGCAAAAGAGCGAGATAACAATTTTCAGTGAACTACTCCAATACTGGGTTTCCCATAAGAAGGCGAGAGATTGCTACACCATAATTTTAAAATGGTCTGCTAAGCGCCATCTAAAGGAGTAAAAAGTCGAGTGATTTTCGATATGAATCACAATCATCTCACGCAAAAATATTTGTTCTTATGGTAAGCCATTACATTTGCCAACCTCCTGCCTTTCGAAAAATTAAATTTTTTTTGTTAAAAAAGCTAGCTTTGTCAAGGTCAGATTACTCAAAACTACTGGCAGGTTTCGCTCTCGAGTTTTATAAAACGTTGATAGTAGCTAGTACCGGTAGGATAGTTCTACGTTTGAAAGGACAGTTTGAGATCTTGACGTTTTAGTGATCTAAAAAACGGGTTTAAAGTCGTTAGTTCCGCTGCGAATTAGAAAGGAGAATGGTTAGAGAACAGTTTAATTTGTATAGAGAAATCGTTTGCTTTAGAGTTAATCTGAGAAATATATGCTTGTAAAAGCGGCTCTCAACAATGAAATCTTACCCAAATCATTGCAGCGCATTTGTTTCTTAATGAACATTTCTAAATTGAACGTGAATTCTGATGCAACAAAATGTATAAAATTGGATACAGTGAGATTTTAACCACATACATAGATATACAATATATCTATATATACAAAAATTGTATATAAGCATGAAAAAATAGGAATTCCTAAGTTGTAATAGACGCAAATTCGGCACAGTTCGAATACGCGACTAGCAGAAGGTGGTGCTGAAGTTTTGTGTAGCTGCTTCAACACCGAAAATATTTTGTGATGAATTAAAATACACCATGGCGCTTACAAAATACATTATTCCCTTAATATTTGGGATGACGTTTGCTTCACAATTGGTGAGTATTATTTGAAATTAGGAACGTCATTGTAGTTGAGTAGTCTGGTCTTAGCTTATAACAATACTTTATATTGAGGTTGTCGATTCTAGAACAATTAAACAAATACTTAAAAGTGCTTATAAGCTCTGCTGACTACGTTGTTACCCAGCTGAATCGGTTTCTATTGTGATATAACCAGTTTTATTGTTGAGATATTGTAACTATTCAAGTAAGAGTTAAAGTTATCATTTGAATCTTCAGTTAAGTCTGAACAAAAAGTGGTGTTTTCCCATAAATAGTACTAATCGTATTTATGCTATTCGAGACTTTCGGGTGCGAGTTATACAAGATGTTTTACTTTATAAAATATGTTTCATCTGTGGCCTTGAAACGCCTAGCATCTGCTTCAAGACACAAGTCGATACCCATTGGTCCGATGTGAAGCGAATGCTGCTAATTATTAAAACCAGATTTCGACTCAATCAAATATATCAGGATATATGTTTTATGCTTTAGACGATACGAAAGAATTATACCACTTGCATTAAAGAAAAAAACAAAAACAAGTTAGGAGGAGCTAAATTCGGTTGTAACCTTTTAAACTTAAACTTTTGGAACTTGCAAGGGTCAAAACCTGGGAAACATCAGGTGTTAATAAAACTTTATATTACACTGTGCAAAGTTTTTTCTCGAAATATTTATTGGTGCTTGATTTGCATACTGGAAAGTGAAAGAATCCGATGAAATTACATTTTTTATATGGTAAGTAGGTGTGGTTGTTCTACTATAGTGTCTACTAAGAACGTTTGGGTATTCTCACATCCACACTTTAGTTGAAATCGATCAAGTAGTACCCGAGATATAGGATTTCAACTAAAAGTGGGCGGTGCCACGCCCATTGTCCAATTTTTAAAACGTATCCCATAAAACGCTTCCCTAGTGGTTTTTAACATAACCGTTATATGGGGAGTGAGAGTGGTTATTGTCTGATTTTAACCATTTTCGCATCGTTTGAAGAGGTGCTAAAATGACTTGCTCTCGGCAAGCTTGGTTGATAGAACTGTGATTGGAAGGTATGTACAAAAAACCATTTAGGGGCGGGGCCACGCCCACTTTAATAAAATTTTTGGCCCACAGGTGTCCCTAGCAACTGCGATCTCCTACACTAAATTTCATATCTTAAGTTAGTGCTTAGTTATGGCACTTTATATGTTCTTGATTAACGGCATTTTGTTGGCGTGAGCAATAGTCCGATTCCGGTCATTTGCAATACCAACCTCCCTTGGGTACAAAAGAAGATGTGTAATTTTACTCAATCTAATTGCCTATAATGAAAATATTTACCTCAAAACAGTAATTTCAATAATTCCTAAATGTCCCCTACTTCCCTTTCGCATTTATTACATATTTCTAGAATATAGAAGAATGGAACGAGATGGCTAGGAATGGAATCATACCGAATCCTCAAAAATGTGGCAGAGTCGGTGTATCAGATCGTATTTTTGGTGGCACTGACACAAGTATAGATGAATATCCCTGGACCGCCTTGCTACTGTACTCAAATAAAAGTAATGACTGAAAGAAACAAGTTGCTAAGCCGAAAATTTCTTAAGAAATTTGCAAATTTTTACTTCCAGAGACTCAAGATTTCGGCGCCGGCTGCATGGGTTCACTCATTTCCAAACAATATGTGCTCACAATAGCACAATGCGTTGACGAAAGCTTTGCACCTAAAGAGGGTGTTAATTTTATTGGTGTACGTTTCGGAGAATGGAACATTTCATACAAACGAGACTGTCAAAAATTTAGTGGAGGCAAATCCCTTTGCGCTCCATTGTATATGGATATAGTAGCAGATGTTATAATCTCACATCCAGAATACAACAAAAAGACGCTACGGAATGATATAGCTTTACTACGTTTGATAAGAAAAATTGCATTTACGGATTTCATTAGCCCCATATGTTTGCCATATCATGAAGATCAGGGATATATCGGTGCGCCGAACAGCACAGCAGAAATCACTGGCTGGGGTGAAACTCTGAGAAGAGATGAGAGCCAAATAAAACAAAAAGCAACTGTAAAAATATTCGAACTTAATGCTTGTGAGAGTAGAATTAATGGTGCAGTGGGTATGCATTACAGTTTCGCTCCGGACTTGCAAATATGTGCTATGGACGATGTCAAAGTCGCATGTAAACTAGATGGCGGTGGACCGCTCATGGTTCAACATTCAAATGAAAATAAACCGGCATATTATTTGATTGGGTTATTCTCCAGTATGGACATTACATGCGATAGGAAGAATCTTCCTGGTATATACACGCGCGTCCAGGCCTACCTGCCATGGATAAAAGAGCACATTCACTTGTAATTATTAATGAATGCAATATTTAACCAGAATATATAGTGTAACTTATGTCTTTGTAATTAAAATAAAAAAATTCAAATTGAAGGTTCTTCTGACAAAACTATTTATGATTTTCGGTCAAAACCGGAAACGATCGAAACTAGACCTTAGAAGCCATAGGAAAAACGGTGCTGATCCATCGGACTCGTTGTTATTTAATCGTACGTTTCTGTAAAATGAAATAACAAGATGCGATGAAATCTCCAAGATTTGTTTTGCTGGCGTTATAGCGAGATTTTCCTTTGGTCTATTTGTGAACTAAGAAATTATAATGTGAATAAAGGAAGTGGAAGATCCAATTATAACCTGTCAAAAAGCACTGAAATACATAAGTTCCATATGATAACTGGAAAGATATTGGTTGGAACAGCAAGTAAATGACAATATATGTATATTTCAAATAGCTTATAAAGTGAGTGGTGAGTGAAATAGTGGAATGGAAGACGCCTACCATGTTACCAACGGACTTGCGTTATTTGGACTGATTAGGAATGACGGAGATAATTAAACCTGTGACTAAGACTAATTTTTCAAATAGTTGTCGAATCAAAGAAATTGAAACGATTAAAGTTTAAGCTAAACTACCATCACAGGTGCATTTTTATAGCACAAAAGGTATAAAAAAATCTATATCTTGATTTTGATCGATCACTTTGAATGACAGCTATAGGCTATAGTTTACCGAAAGATTTGGTTCGAAGATTGTACCGCTGTTGTTAATCTAAGCCAAATTTGTTGAAAATACCTTGTCAAATAAAAAACTTTTCCGTACAATTTTCTTAAACCGATCCGTTACAAAAAGAGGTTCTTATAAACTTTATTAGTGGTTTGTAAAGGGCTTAGCTAATTATATAAGCATTTTTCATTCGAACAACAGCAAAATGCACCCCATAAATGTAGATGGTAAGACTATCCCAGCCTGAATGTAAGCGTTCAAATATTATATAATATATACAAGTTATGTATATTAATTGAGCGTGACACAATTTACAGAATTAGCTTCAATTAGAAACAGTTATACTGCTTTTCAGCTAAGGAATGTAGTTCGAGTGGGAGAAGAGCAAATAATTGTATCAGTCTTCACTCGTTTGTTTCATTAAGAGTAGCTAAATAAATTCAAAGCAAAAATATATATTTCTAGAATTAAGAAGCTTATGACTATCGCAAAAGTTATTACTCTTTTGATTTATTTTGGCTTTTCGGCAGTTGTGAGTACAAAATAGAGGCATTGTAATTAATACTAATATTGTTTTACAATTATTTGGTAAGTGTTTCGAAGAGAGTCTGTGGTAATATTTGATTTGAGAGCGAAGCAGATAATAAAAGTTTTTAATATACGCGGGTTTATTTATTTATGAGTAACTATTTTGTCCCCTTCTAAGTAATCACCTCTATATATAATGCACTTACGCTATTAGGTAAGTAGATCTCGGTGAAGATACACGTAGCCCACGAAAATTCAAAATTCGCGAAGCGTTTTGAACAACACTTGTAGGTGATCCAAAACAACACATTAACGGTGTCGCCGCCTACGTATACCCCAGACATGGCCTCCTGTGACTTTTTTGTTCCCAAAACTGAAGAGGCTCATGAAAGACAATGCTGCGCTGCGATTGAGGAAATAAAAACTGCATCGAAGGAGGAGCTGAACAAGATTACAAAAAATTACTTTGATGATTGGTAAAACGCTGACATAAGTGCCTTATATCAAGGGGTGATCACTTTGAAGGAGACGCAATAGATTTTTATGAATAAATAAACACTTTCTTAAGAAATACAAAATTCGTGAAACTTTTTGAACAGACCGCGTATATCTACTTCTATAAATATTTCTCTTCAAACTTAATAATCAATATGAGTGTTTGAAAGGTTATCATTTCATATATTATATAATATAATCCTCTTCTAAAGACCCTTAAGAGAGAGAGTTTGCAACGAAGTTTGTAATACCCAGAAGGAAACGTCGGAGACTCTATAAATATATATATATATATATATATATATGGTATATGTTTGACCGTCTGTTTATATATACGCGAATTAGTTCCTCAGTTTTTGAGATAACGATCTGAAATTTTCTTCCCAAAAAGCTGCTTATTTGTTGAAATTAACGATATCAACATATGACATATAGCCATCATACAAACTGAACGATTAAAATCATGTTCTTGTATGAAAACTTTTGTATTTGTGAAGGGTATTATAGCTTCGGTGAAACCGAAGTTAATGTTTTTACTTCTTTTATTCATATTTTAAAACAGGGGTAATCTCAGATTGTCGTTTGAGTTAAGTAGAGAAACTCCAAGCTGACGTAGAACGCTGTTTCATCTTTCAAGCAATACCAAGTTTGATAGCTGAACTGACTTATCAGTTTTTTATTTGCTTCTGGACTCCATTTTTTGTCAAAAATACCTCTCGAAACAAAAAATATCATCACAGAATATTTGTGGAAAGCTACTTACCGTTGCCAAGACTTAGTGATTGTGTTTAAAACTGTGGTTTCCTTACCGGTTCAAGATAAAATTTGAGCCAAAGATATAAGCCAAAGTAGATCTTAGAGTGCATAGCCAGAAAATCACCCTCAGTGGTAGACTGCAATGTTTTCTAAAAAAAATTTTGAAATGAGAACAGTAACTTTTGAGTACATTTTCGTATATTCGTCTGAACTGTCCCCCAACCGCTTAAGATCTACTGCAATTTCTGAACATCTGCTAACATTTTATAACCTCGTAACTAAGTCCAATTTTAACTCTTACATAATTTTTTATACTTTTAGGAAAGCATTAAGTGGATTCCTCTGGATGATTCAAAGGCAATGCGAAGCACTTTGCCCACGGGCAGAGAATGTGGGAAAATTCCACTAAATCTACGTATTTTTGGTGGTAGTGAGACACTTATTGATGAGTTTCCTTGGACTGTAATGCTTGTATATGAAAACAAAGGTATCTAGTAAACACAAAAGAAGCTTCAAGGGGTATCAAAAACATAAAATTGTTCTGTCACAGATTACATCAAGGGCTCATATTGTAGCGGTTCGCTTATTAATAAATATTTCGTACTAACCGCAGCGAATTGTGTCGATGACAATCTGAACCGCAAAATGGGTTGGTTTTTCCTCGAAGTCCGCCTGGGCGAATGGGATGTAACTATGAGTGAGGATTGTGAACGTGCCGGTAAACGTGAGGCCTTTTGTGCACCACCACCCATCACTAGAAAATTGGCAAACAAAATTATTCATCCAGATTTTGATATAGAACAGCAATCCAATAATATTGCTCTCTTACAGCTTATACAAAGAGTTGAATATACGGATTTTATTAGTCCCATATGCTTGCCATTGGCACACAATCAGGACTTATTAGGTTACGCTAATGCTAATGCAGAAGTTACCGGTTGGGGCAAAACAAATTTTGCTCGAAGTAGTCCAGTTAAAATGAAGGCAACTGTACAAATTCGCAATCTCGTTGAGTGTGTGGTGCGAATGAAACATTTGGGTGTGGATTATGGCATTATATATTCATCGAATCGGCAATCTTGCGCAATGGGCGAGGACACAAATGCCTGTAAAGGTGATACCGGTGGACCGCTGATGAGTCGTGATACACAGAATAATATAGAATCTTATTATTTGATTGGCATAACGTCGTTTGGCTTCGATACGAAGACATGCACGGCGAAGGGCTTTCCGAGTATTTTCACACGCGTTGTACCGTATCTACTATGGATTAAAGAGACTATCTCCAGTTCTTAACTGCTATTGAAGTATACAGATATAAACTTAATCACATTGGCTTGACTTCTAACAGTCCAAAATACCATATAATAGTTTTATCAGTACAATATAGTTCTTTAAATATTGTTCATAATGGATTTTGGATGCTCTTAAAAATATATTTTGGCGGCTCTGCATTTTCTAACGACTGTGCGTGCTTTTGCCAGCACGATCACTCAACACTAATATAACGCTCAATCAAGTAATCACTTGAGTTCGTTTCGTCACTCATTCTAATCACATTGATGATCCTTCAAACAAAAAGAGAGAGAGAGAGTGTGTGAGAAAGAGAGAAATCTCTCTCTAGGTAAGAAAAATAAGGTTCTAATGAAGAAGTTTAACAAGAAAAATAGATAAATTTAATAAGACAGAAGTGGATAAGCGATGAGCTCCATCATTAACGAAACAATTTTCAAACTTCCTTTCTTTTAATCACGACGTCGCGAACTAATGTATGCCTCTATCAATCACAATTCAAAAAGGGAGAGGATGAAACTGTTTTAAACTCGATATCAAAATTTCTAATAAGAGAATCATAGACTGCACGTCCAACCAAAGAGATATAGAGGAAGAGGAAATGTAAGTGTTGTTAGAGAGTGTGCTTTGGAAAATAACAAAGAAGTGTGGACGTCTGGGTAATATAAATACCATAATCTATCTAAAGCTATGTCTCAACTTGATTAAGACTGCAATATATTCCGTTCTTGTTTGTGATCAGGGTTCTTCGCTCTATTTCCGATTTTTTTCCGTCAATTATTCATACTATCTTGGTCTTGTCAACAGCGTTCGTTTCTTAGTCTTATTCCAGTTAGCGAGGGAGAGAAGGGGGAGATACGTATATTCGTTTTTCGCTTGTTTTATTGTGTTATGTTGGCAGTCATACTCCTTACTTATGCTGACAATGTCAATGACAATGAATGTTTAATTGATTTTTGACAGCTATTTTGCTGGACGCGTTTTGGTTACAAAAAATGTATCAAATAATTTATATAATTTTTTTTATGTTCTTTTTTTGTATGTTAGTTCTTTGCATATCTGATTGGAAAAACTGCACTTCTCTCTTTGCTGTGAAGCTGTTAAAGAAGGCACAAACCACGAGATCTCAGTTAGTGTAAAACGCGAAACTCGTGCTTTTCGTATGAAACAGCTTAGCACAGCTAGTTCGGACTAGGGCTTTCAGCTGAGAATTTTAGAACTTGTAGAAAACACGACTACAGAATAGACGATTTTCTGGGATGATAAAAATCTACAGCATAAGTAATCCTTATAAAAATTTTGAATGCTTCGCTTAAGGTACCATATATGCCAACATAACCTAAAACGGTAATTCTGGCGTTATTTTGGTATATATAAGATATTTGGACCAAATTGTCGAACGACTTTTTTCCAAAATCACTACTTTTCAAACAAGATATATCGGTTTTCTTAAATCAATTTGCCATTTACATGTTTACTTTGATCCTAACGATACCTTAATAAGGTCCAGAAACGTTGAAAGTCTCCAGAGCTAGGCCACTCTTCCGAACCTAACTGTATCATATTATAAATTGTTACTTATTTACAAATTTTTCAAGTACTCCAGAAGATTCTAATTATACCCGGAAATAAAAGCTTGGTTCCAAGATATTCTTTCCGAAACATTTACAACTAACTACAAGCTATAATATTAATGCACTGAACTTATTACTTATGCAACATGATTTTAAGCGTCAAATGTTCGCAAGTACATATAAAGTCACAGCAGCAACAATGCCAAAGAATAATAATAAAGAAGTTGTAATTGTATGCATCATGCGCGCCAGCTAAAGTAGTAGCAAGTGCAACACCAACAACAATAAACAATAAATAGTCGACTGCATGCAACAAGAATAAGGAAATATCTCTGCTTTTTCAGGCGAGTGTTCGTTTGCATTTACATATGTTAGTTTGCACAAGCAAATTGTTGAAACGCATTTGTCGGCAAATGTTGCCACTACTTTACAATTGTTGTCATTACCATTGTTGTCATTGTCGTTGTTATACCGTTGCTTTTGCCATTGTCGCACTACTTTTACAGTTAGCAGCATTATACGTTGATTGTTAGCCCATACACTTAGCGTGTGTTGTTAGTGTTGTTGCAACTGATTTGTTGCATTTGTGATTACTTATTTGTTTCATTGTATGAAACTATTATTTGCTTATGTAAGAGTATGACTGTATCTGCGAATATACTGTACAGACATATGTATGTACGTAACAGTGTATAACTCAGAAATGCTTAGTAACTTAGTAACTGTAATTTGTATACCATTCACGTTGAAGTCTATAAATATGTAACGACTGAACACACGTGTACCAGACCGGACCAGATATTCGCGAATTTCAACTTATAGCAAAGAACCGGCGGAATAGATTTTAGGAATATTTATACTCTCAACACCAGGGATTTCCTCCAATTTTTGCTTTCTGCAGAATTCTAAAGAGCATTTGTTTGTACATCGTTTTGTGCGAAATCTCTTTACGATTAGGAGCCAGTTCCAGTTAGTGGACGAACTCGGCGAGCCTCTCTTCTTCTTGGACACTGGTCTTTCGTACTTCAGATGTTGCATTCTCCTTACTTCGGTTAAGTTTTGGTTGTTGTTGAGTTGCTGAGTTCTTCCTTACTCCGCGTAAATTCTTGTTGCTTTTGTTGTGCACCTTCTTCTTCTTCAGAACTGCAAGTATTTTCTAGGTACTGTAGTACTGTGTATAGTTAATTATCGAAAAAGAGTATACCGGAAAAATGCAAAACAATTAAAGACAAATGTATGGATGTTTAGGGAAGCTCTGTCCCGGTAAGTCTTTGGTAAACGACTCCCTGCCTTGACGATTTCATGCATCCAAACATAGCCTATAGGTCTAATCGTCTGATAGGTCTTTATGATTCGTGATACACCAGTCTGCTCGTAAGATTCTGAAGACAGTTATAAAAATATCAATCGATTACAAAAACCATAACGCGCTACGATTGTGGATCTACCATATAAGTTATTCAAAAAATGTCGACGAAGTAATGACGTCTGATTAACGAAGCATACCACCACCATATGATCAAACCATAAACAGAATATGCCGAAGGAAGCCAAATAGATTTTGAGAGCTCTTATTACCTTTCCGATACTAACGCAAAGAACATGGCATATGATTTTCGGCATTTTTTTGATGTTATGGCTGTTAACAGAAAATAACGGATAACTCGGTTGAAGCAAGTTTTCTTCGATCCCACTTGTTGATTTATTCAAAGTTGTCTCTAATAATACTTTCAACAACTTTTAAAAAGAATAGTGATCTTATCATACAGGTAGTAACACGCTTCTGTGCGGAATCCCATGGAATGTACTTGCAAGCTTTTAAGCCTATAACATAACTACTACCAAGCTTAATTTATGGCATAAATGGTATAGAAATCTGCAAATCTTCATTGCAACGAATGTTGTTGATCCTGTTGATTTTGTTGTTGCAATGATAACAAACGCAAGTGCATATTTTTGTTGTTGCAACACCATTGCGAACTTCATCTTTTGTGATTATAATCATAAATACACACACATACATACATATGCACATCAACGCTTGCCTGCTTGTGAAGTTTGAGCTTTTCGGTGAAAGCTTTCACAGACTTAAATATGTATATTTCTCTTTCATATGACCCTTAGCAGTGCCATTTCTTACTCCCCAATTTCGTTTCCCCCCGCCCACCACTTCATCACATTGTCAGTTTTATTATGCCTGTGTGATGTATACGTATATAAGTGTGTCAGTGTTTGTGTTAACGGAAGGGTTTTATTATCTCCGCCTTGCCACAAAATCCATTGTATGCATGCGTATTTCCTGTTTTTTGTATTTTTTTTTTTTTTGTATTAAAATTAGCAGCATAAAACATTCGTTGTTCTTCATAAGTCTCCTGTCTCGCCCAAAAGCTGCTGCTTATGCTTTTCGTAACCGACTTACACCCATCCGAATATCAGTATGCATGGAGATTTGCATGTGCATTTGCATTGTCTTTGTCTGTGCGTGATCTCCACGCGACATTTAGTTTCTTTCTTTGGCATTGCCTCTGCTTGACGTCGCTTAAAATTGCAATTGCGCTCGTATTGTGACTCTTGACGGAAATTATTCGCATTATTCATTCGCAATTCACTGACGCAATCTGTTGCTGAAGTGCTTAGGCACAAAAATTACTGTTTTTCACACAGAAACCTATTAACACAGTTGGTAGTTGGAAGGTAATGTAAGGGAGGGAATGTAAAATATAAAGTTGAGTTTTTGAAAGGTGAATTGAAGAGAGAAGTTCTTGAGCTTGCTAGTTAGCTTTCTTGTTGATGTTGGTTGTCTCACACAAATTAGTTTTGTAGCATTTTGAAAATCAATAATGTATAAATTAGTTCATATATAGGATTTCAGTCAAAAAGATTTTTCCAGATTATACCGGAATATATGAATATGAGGATAGCAAGGCTTGACAGTTTATAAGAAAACAGAAATATCTCATTTAAACATTAATTTATCGATCAAATAAGTGAAGAAACGATTCTTGTTTAGAAATCGGTTATATAATATATCGTGAACAAGTTTTTGAGCATGCACTTTAAAATCCTGCAATCTTCAATTGTTTTCAACTTGGAAATGCGCTTTTCGAGTGGCGGCAGCGATTGCGTCGATAATAGTCTGCCTCTAGGCACAATGTAGCTAGTTCGGAAATCTTGCCTTGTGATGTTTGTGATCGATGAACATTTTTGACCCTTGCCAAAGCACTGAACGAACGTTCATCACATTCAATAAGTGTTATGTAGTAAGACGGCTTTCCAAATTTGCATCGCAAACGTGTCAGAAGTGAACAGCTTCATTGGAGCATTTATCATATACATCATATACATCAACGGTATATTGTTTTTGCTAAATTGTTTGCTGATGCGTTAAGTTCATCTTTTTTCATATCTTTCATATCATGGAACTGCCATAGAAATGAGAACGATATCTCTTGAATTCAATTTCTTCTTTACTGCAATTTTCATTAATTTCTTTATGTAGGTCCTTTCCGTGATTTTGTATTTTCTTGTGTTTTCCTCACAAGAAGGCTTTCCATTCAGCGTCGATTGTGGCATTGATCTCTTGAAGAACCAAGCTTTTTTTATTGATTAACCAAAATACTTAAAAATA